GCACTTGAATTGCTATGTTGGTGCTTTAGTCATATATATGTGTCAAATGATGAATGTAACTTTATTGTTTGAAAACGTCCCATGAATGTTATATTTTTCTCTTAATCTACTCTAGAAAATACATTTTAAATAATTAATGAAAGTAGAATTCTTAGTGTGGATGAGTCAATAGTTTGTGTTCTTTAAATATTCCTAGCTCTTCTTGCAGGGGGGAATGAACTCTTTTTTTGTTTTGTTTTATATTACAGGAGACAGCAGTATTTTTCTGACTTATTTAACATTTTAGATACTGCCATTATTGTGACTCCTCTGCTGATTGATGTCATTTACATTTTTTTGACAGTAAGTTTCTTAGGAATATTCCCAGGTATGAAATGTAAGACTTACCTCTCTTAAAGTTTTAAAGTTTTTCATTAATTTTGCATTTTCTGTGGCTTTTATTCTATATGATCTTTTTTTTTTGAGACGGAGTCTCGCTCTGTCGCCCAGGCTGGAGTGCAGTGGCCGGATCTCAGCTCACTGCAAGCTCCGCCTCCCGGGTTTACGCCATTCTCCTACCTCAGCCTCCCGAGTAGCTGGGACTACAGGCGCCCACCACCTCGCCCGGCTAGATTTTTGTATTTTTTGGTGGAGACGGGGTTTCACCGTGTTAGCCAGGATGGTCTGGATCTTCTGACCTCGTGATCCGCCTGTCTCGGCCTCCCAAAGTGCTGGGATTACAGGCTTGAGCCACCGCGCCCAGCCTTCCATATAATCTTTTAAACTTCAGATGTTCTCATTCTATACCAAATACATTGCTTTAAAATGAAATGTTTAGGTAAATTCCCACATACTTTGAAACTAAAAGATTGTGACATTTGGGGACCAGTGAAGAGCATCCACACTAAGTACCATTAATTGAATGAAGAAGATGGAGTACCCAAAGAAGGACTTTTTTACTCTTGTACTAACTTTAACTTCTCTACATTTTGAAGTTCTCATCAAATTCCCATTTGTATCACTTTTTTTGGCCTTTTGGCTAAGATCAAGTATAATATTTTTATCAGTTTAATATCTGCTATATAAAAAAATTTTATATTAAAAACAATTCCCCTCTGTGCTTCAACTACAAATCCCTTACACATATGTTCTGTCTGGGTTTTTCCCACAGCCAAGAGGGAATTTATTTGAGCATATGCAAAATTTGAGTGACTTCAATCATGAGTTTCTAAAAAATAGCGAACAGAACAGAAACTAGGAGATGACACGTGTGGCAACAGAATGGTAGAGTTTTGCGGTATAGTTGTGGTAGACACAAAGGAAGCTTAGGCAAAGAGGAACTGTTAGGGTTAGGAAACTAAAGAGTGTATGAGGACCTGGTGACTTTTTTTTTCTTTTTTTATTGTGACAATGAGGAAAATGAAAGAGCAAATGTATACTGGGATGTAGATGGTGGCTTCCTAAGCTTGTTCATGGGTCAAATAGCTGATTTCTTTTTGTATCCTAGCTTCCCTGGACTACAGCTCAGGCCCCAACTAAGCATGTTAAGTGATAGGCTTTTGGAGTTATTTGAAAATAACCTTAGCCAATGTGGTCCTCTGACTAGAAACCTCAGCGTCACTTGAGAGCTTGCTAGAAATATAAGAAGAAAAATACTTTAGGCCCCACCTTGGACCCACTGAATCAGTATCTCTGGGACCCAGCAATCTGCAGCTTAACAAGCTTTTCCAGATGGCTCTTATTTACGTGTGCCCAAATCAGAGAAGCACTAGTCCAGACCATCAGTTCTCTTCTTCAGTGTTTCTGATGGTAGGAGAGACACCAGCTAGCACACTTTGGAAGGATCTCAATCTGTTGCCTGCCTGATGTGCATTAGCAGCTGTAGTGAACCTCTGTTACTCATGGGAATAACAAAGATGAACAAGAATAATCAATTTGTTTTGATGTGGAAAAATTGAAAATGCTAGTCTTAAATCCCAAAATTAAATTAACAAATGCGAAGAGCCTGTTGTATCACTATTTCTCTAGACCAGAATTTCTCAACCTCAGCATTACTGACATTTTGGGCCAGATCTTTGTCATGAGAGGGTGGTGAGCAGTTACATTAACTGCAGGCTGTTTAGCAAAATTCCTGGCCTCTATCCACTAGATGTAAGTAACACACACACACACACACACACACACACACACACACATCAGTTGGGAAAACCGAAATGCCTCCGGACATTGCCAAATATCCTCAAGGTAGGTAATTGGGGAGAGGAGGGAAAATTGCCTCTGGTTAACAACTGCTGCTCTAGATATAGTTTATATTGATAAAATTCTGTTTCTGAAGGAAAAATCGATCTTTTAAATTTATTGTTAGATGAACACATTTAGTTCGACCTCTACGACTTGTTATTCTGATAAGAATTTTTCATCTGATTCATCAAAAAAGACAACTTGAAAAGCTGATGAGAAGGCTGGTAAGTGGCAAAACATGCTTATGATTCAGAAAAAATATTTTGTGTTTTGGGACCCATTGGCAAGGGTTGATATCTATACTGTATAATGTTTTTATTTTTATGTTGATGAATGTTTCACAAACTAATGATGATTTTAAACTCTCAGGTTTCAGAAAACAAAAGGCGATACACAAGGGATGGATTTGACCTAGACCTCACTTATGTTACAGGTTTGTGACACTTAACTGTTGATTTACTTGTATTACTTCACTTTTTCTTGTAATTGTATTTTTTTTTTTTTTTTGCCTCATGTAAGACACATTCATTCAAAATATTCTTTATTCATGAGGATATATGCCACTGTGATAGTGTGACATATTTGTGGTTTAGCCCTGGCAATGGAAGGGCTGCATGTCTTCTCATTTCAGGACTACTCGGTTGCAGCATAGGAACTTGAATGGATTTTCAGCCGACTCCGTTTGAGTTTCAATTTATTAAGCTCTAGTAGTTATTCTGAGTCTCAAGGATCCCAGAGAGACCTCTTCGCATCCTAGAACCCCAGAGAATGAGGTCAGTGCTTGGTAGATCTCAGGTTTTCTGAGTCAGAGGGCTGCAAAGCACCTTGGGAGTTCCCACCATCACTGGTGCCCAGAACTCTTGGATTTTCTCTGGTATTTAAGATAAGAAATAAATTCTAAGAACAGGGAGAGCTTCATACTGAGGCCAACATAAGTACATGGCATACGGTTAGTACTAGTGGAGTCTTAAGAACGCCATGCCAGTTTAATTGTCATTATGTTGGATCATTTAATATGTTATTTGATTATCCTGAGTATTAGCTCTTTTCTGTTAACCTCAATCTTAAAAGTTTTTTTTTTCTGTGAAAATGGAGTGTGATCATGAATAAATTATTTTTTGTATGTTATAGGAAATCTATAATAATGTTTGTAATAGTGATGGTTTTGATTTTCAGAACGTATTATCGCTATGTCATTGCCATCTTCTGGAAGGCAGTCTTTCTATAGAAATCTAATTGAGGAAAGGGCCTTTATCTGACAAATACTCATTTCTCAGTGAATGTAGACTGTGTAGTCATGAGTTTATTATTGACCCAGATACGGCAGTATTCTTTTAAAAATGTACTCTTTCAAGTAAAAAAAAAATCATAATGGATTAATACCAGTTACAATTGTGCCAGTGGTTACAAACCACCCCAAAACTTACTGGCTTATAACAGCAACTATTTATCTGGCTCATGATACTATGGTTTGTGAATTTGGGATGGGCTTAACTGTCCAATTCAGGTGACTGCAGAAAGGATTTCCTGTCTCAACTAAGCTCATTCATGTATCTATGGGCAGCTACTGGGTCATCTGAGGACTGACTAGTCTAAAATGACTTGGTTACCCTTAACTGACAGAACCACTACATGCTACATGCACCCCCCAAGGTCCAAGGCCCATCCCATCTGGCACTCACTGCTGCTAACAGCTCCACCCCCTTCACCAGCAGAGCCACCATATGCTGCATGCACTTCTAAGGCACTGAGGACTGGCCTGCCTGGTGCCCACCCTGCTGGTGGCAATATGCCACAACTAGCAAAGCCACTGCACTTAGCATGCATATGCTTAGGGCCTGAGAACTCATCTGAATGATGGCTCCCACACCAAGAAAAACCATACCACTGTCTCCACAAACACTCACCATCAGACCACTGAGGCACTCACAGACACCACTGAATGCTGATTATAGCCAAAAAAGTCGCATGAAGACTATATTACTGCACCCACCCAGAACCAAAGTCAAAGCACCCTGCTCAATGAACACTATAGGGGACAACTATTGGAAAAAGTATTTCTTTATGAAAGCTCTCTAACATTGGAAGAGGCAACTGTTCCCGTAGATGTGCAAAAATCAATTTAGGGCCCCAAGAAACATAAAAAGCAAGGAAACATTACACCTCCAAAGAAACACAATAATTCCCCATGAACAGACCCTAAATTTTAAGAGTATATCAAATGGCTAAGAAATTCAAAATAATGATCTTAAGGAAACTCTATGAGATACAGAGAATACAGATAGACAAATCAATGAAATTAGAAAAACAATTTATGATCTTATGAGAAATTCAACAAGGATATATATATGTCATTAAAAACCAGACAGAGATTTTGGAGCTGAAGAATTTAAGGAGTAAAATAAAAATACCATCAAGAGTCCAGGTGCAGTGGTTCACACCTGTTATCCCAGCACTTTGGGAGGCCAAGGCAGTGGATCACTTGAGGCCAGGAGTTCAAGACAAGCCTGATTAACATGGCAAAATCCTGTCTCTAAAAGATAAAAAAATTAGTTGGGTTTGGTGGCGCATGCCTGCAATCCAAGCTACTTGGGAGGCTGAGACATGAGAATTGCTTGAACCCAGGAGGTGGAGGTTGCAGTGAGCCAAGATTGTGCCACTGCACTCCAGCCTTGGTGGCAGAGCGAGACCCTATCTCAAAAAAAAAAAAAAAAAAAAGCAATCAAGAGGTTTAAAAACAGACATGGGAGAGATATGGCCAAAATCTAGGAAGCTCAAAGGTTCTCAAATAGATTCAACTCAAAAAGTTCTTCTCTGAGGTGCATAATAGTCGAACTGTCAAAAGTCAAAAAGAGGGAATATTCGTCAGGTGTGGTGGCTCACACCTGTAATCCCAGCACTTCGGGAGGCTGAGGCGGGTAGATCACTTGAGGCCAGGAGTTCAAGATGAGCATGACCAACATGAAGAAACCCCATTTCCACTAATAATACAAAAAAATTAGCTGGGTGTGGTGGCATGAACCTGTACTTCCAGTTACTTGGGGGGGCTGAACCACAAGAATTGCTTAAACCCAGGAGGTGGAGGTTACAGTGGGCCAAGATCACACCACCGCACTACAGCCTGGGTGACAGAGCAAGACTGTATCCAAAAAAGAAAGGAAATATTAAAAACAGCAAGAAAAAAGCATCAAGTCACATATAAGGGAATCTCCATTTGATTAACAGTAGATTTCCCAGTGGAAACTTTACAGGTCAGTAGACAATGAGATGGGATGATATATTCAAAGTACTGAAGGAAAAAAATAAACAAAACTGTCAACCAAGAACACTATACCCAGCAGAGCTATCCCCTAGAAATGAGGGAGAAATAAAGTATTTCCTAGACAAGCAAAAACTGAAGGAATTCATCACCACTAAACTGGCCTTATAAGTACTGCTTAAGGTGGTTCTACATCTGGAAGCAAGAGGATGATTACCATTGTGAAAACACACAAAAGTATAAAACTCACTGGTAGCACAGATATGCACATGAGAAAGAGAAAGGAATCAAACTTTATCATTACAGAAAATGACCAAACCACAAAGATTAAAAAAAAAAAAAAAATAGGGGAAGAAAAGAACAAAGGATATACAAAACAACCAGAAAAAAATTGAACAAAATGACAGGATAAAGCCTCATCTATTAATAGTAACCTTGAATGTAATATAAACAGATCAAATTCCCAATTAAAAGATATAGAGTTGGCTGCCAAAATTTAAAAAAAAAAGACCCAACTGTATACTGCCTACAATAAACTAACTTTACCTGTAAAGGTTCATATAGACTGAAAGCGAAGGGATAGAAGAAATTATTTCAGCCAAACAGAAACCAAAAGCGAGTAGAGGTAGCCATACTTATCAGGTAAAACAGACTTTAAGTCAAACTGTATGAAGAGACAAAGAAGGTCATTTGATAATAAAGGGATCAACTTAGCAATAAGATATAATAATTGTAAATATATATGTACCCAACACTGGAGCATTCAGATAAACAAGGCAAATATTATTAGATCTAAAGGGAAAGATAGACTTCATTGCAGTAACAGTTGGGGCCTTTAACACCCCACTCTTACCACGGGACAGATCATCCAGACAGAAAATCACCAAAGAAATATCAGATTTAAGCTTACAGATAGAACTAAGTTCTGGTGTTCTATAGTGCTGTAGGGTGAGTACAGTTAACAATAATTTATTGTATATTTTTAAATAGAGAGGATGTTGAGTGTTCCCAACACAAACAATGATAAATATTTGAGGTGATAGATATGCTGATTATCCTGATTTGATCATTACATGTTGTATATAAGTATTGAGATATCCCTCTCTACCTTCTAAATATGAACAAGTGTTATGTGTCAATTAAAAATATTTTTAAAGAATGAAGGAAACAGATTTTTTAAATGAAAGGAAAGAAAATAACCTGACTTGGCTGAATGGCCCCAGGTGGTCTCTCATTCTCCAGTAGGCTACTTCAGTCCTGTTCACATGATGGCAGAGGCAAGAGTCCCTGGAGTGGCAACAAAGCAATGCAAATCCTCTTAAGGCCCAGGCTCAAAATTATATATTACTTCTACCCTATTTTACTGGACAATGCAAATTACAGTACCAGTCTGGATTCAAGGAGTAGAAAATAAACTCGAATTATTGATGAAAGGAATTATAAAGAATTGTGGCCTTTTTTGATAGTCTGCCATAGGGAAGAAAGATGGGGATGCTGTAACCAAAATGGGTATTCTTAGGTTGAGATCCTAAATTATAGTGACGGCATACTGGTTTAGGCTCTGTGGATGACTAAATTAATTTCAAACATATAATGCTGTTTACTGTGAAATGCCAGCTGAAAGGATCATTGTTTAATTTTATGTAATTTACAATACTTATTATATCTCAATAAAAGTATAATTATCGAGGGCCGGCATCAGTTGCTGAGAGATGGAAGGAGTAGCTCTCTGCAGTGTGTTAGTTCAGTTCCGAACAGGACAGTAGCTCTCTGCGGTGCGTTAGCTCAGTTCCCAACAGGACAGTAGCTCTCTGCGGTGTGTTAGCTCAGTTCCGAATAGGACAGTACCCCTCTGCGGTGTGTTAGCTCAGTTCCCAACAGGACAGCGCCTCTCTGCGGTGCGTTAGCTCAGTTCCCAACAGGACAGCGCCTCTCTGCGGTGGGTTACCTCAGTTCCCAACAGGACAGCGCCTCTCTGCGGTGCGTTAGCTCAGTTCCCAACAAGACAGCGCCTCTCTGTGGTGGGTTACCTCAGTTCCCAACAGGGCAGGGCTGCAAGTTCAGCTGCTTCCCAGAAAATGTCCTGGATCCCCCGGCCTGAGTCATCATCCCATGACTGGAGAACGTGGACAGATTATTTTGTCAAGAAACTGGTGATAAACGAGGGACTATAGGAATTAAGAACTGGGCTGAAAAAGAAATGTTTAGAGTGATGCAAGATGGCCAATTAGAAGCAACTGCAGTCTGCAGCGCTCACAAAGAGGAATGAAAAGCGGCGAGGGAATTCAGCACCTTCAACTGAGATATCCAGGTTCTCACGTTGGGACTGACTGGATGAACAGGTCGGCCAATGGAGAACGAAGAAAAGCGGGGAGAGGGTGCGATGGCCCAGCCAGGGGCAGCATGGAGCCAAAGGAACCCCCACTCCCAGCCAAGGGAAGCAGCGAGGGATTGTGCAATCCTGCCCAGGAAACTGTTTCTCCCATGGATCTTTGCAAGCCATGGATCAGGAGATCCCCTTGTGAGCCCATGCCACCAGGGGCTTGGGTCTGATACACAGAACTGTTTGGAGTCGCGCACATCAGCTGCTCAGGCACACACAGAAACCCAGGAGTTTGACACACTCTAGCACCCGGGATCTTCAGCACAGTGGGAAATCTGTCCATATGTATCTCTGGGAAGGAGGCTGAATCCAGGGAGCCAGGCAGCGTCATTCTACAGGCCCCATTTCCATGGCACCTCACAAGTTAAGACCCACTGGCTTGGAATCCTAGCCTGCCAAAAGCAGCAGCCTGGAATCCACCTCAGATGGGTCTGAGTTCCCGGGGAGGTGGTGAGAGGCAGCCGGCATCACTGTGGTTCATAGACTCAGCCACTCCAGCCTGCCAGCTATGGAGAATACAGTCTGGACAAGGAAGAGTTCCCCACAACACAGCACAGCTGGCTTGCCAGATTGTGACCAGACTGCTTCTTTAAGCAGGACCCCAA